AGAATGACAATGGGACAGATACTTGAATGAGGACATCTGGCTGATGTTGATATGTGGTGATCAGCCTCCATGTAGCTAAAGAATGAATGAATGAATGAATGAATGAAGCAAATTCAGGGATCACCAACATGTAAGGGGCATAAAGAGGAAAGAGGAATGAAAAGAAGTTAGGAAGAAGTAGCCAGAGAAGCAGAATGAAAACCAAGAGAGTATGGCATCACAGGCACCAAAGGATGATAGTATTTTAAGAAGGTGCCCAATGCCAATAGGTGCCAAGAGGTCAAATAAGACAAAGACTTAACATAAGATAGATTCTGGAAACCAAGGTAAACCAGAGGCTGGGATATGGAGTGAAAGGAAAAGATACACTTCAAAATCCTATGCCAACAAAATCACAAATGACTACATGGTCTAGATTTTTAAGATAACTTGTGAAAAGTAAACCACAAAATGATCTCTATACATCTGATAAGACATGAAACAGGAAAGGAAATTTATAAATTTTTTTGGTATAAGGGACTGAACTGAGCGGCACTTAACTACTGATCCACATCTCTAGCCATTTACAGACAGGGTCTCACTAAGTTACTTAGGGTCTCACTAAGTTGCTGACTGAGGCTGGCCTTGAACTTGTGATTCTGCCACCTCAGCATCACCAGAATTAAAGGTGTGTGGCATCATTCCTGGCTTAATTTCTTTACAAACCACTATCAACCATCCACCAACATAGGTTATGCTTAGTACCTGAATTGGTGGAGGGAACAACATCTAACACCCAAACCAAAAAAAAAAGTGAAATTCCTAAAATATTAAGCAAAAAGATTAATCATTCTGATGTTTGGATACTAGCACTTGTAAAATGCCACATCCAAGATCTGTAATGGCACTAGTCAGGGGTCCCTAAAGGCCTTCCCCAGGACCCTAGAGGCCATGTACCATTCTAATCAGGAAGAACGGATTTGAATATCAGACCACAAAGGAAGTTAGAAGGAAGAGAGAGGGTTGCCATCAGCACAGAAACAAAACAAAATGAGAAGAATTAGTCAATCCAGCTAGCCTAGTACCATGCCTGATAAATACTAATCCCCTTCCACCAAGAACCTTCACTTCAAATCCCCTCATCTCCATGACTAATTCAGGTTGGCATTCTGTTTTCTGGAACATGGAGTCCAGCCAAACCAAGCTGACAAGCATAAGAAGGAAACCTAAGAACTGAAGAAAGAAAAATATATCAGCCACAAAAACCACAGACTGCTGTCCTGAATAAGAAAGGGCCCTTGCTCTCATCTTCAACAAGGCCATGCTTCAAACAGGAGGCAGGAGAATCTCTACTGATGCCAAACAAACATTAAGAGAATCAGATGGTGGGACTTGTTACAATGCATTGATAAATCCATGCTGAGTCATTTGTCATACAGAAATGAAAACTTTTACCCCAGGGCAGTTCTCTACAGTATACCACAAGACCTTCTGATGACCAATTGCTGTCAAATACATGTGTCCAGCTTCAGATCTCACCAAAGCTCCAGACCCACTGAACTTGCCAACTCTTGGTTACTTCCTCTGTGCTCTCAGAAGCTCAATTCCTAATATACAACACTGACCTATGACACCATTTTCTCCCGGCACCAGTTTTTCGTTTGAAAATGACATCATCATCCATCCAGTTCGGAAACCAACAATCAGTGCAGAGAATGATATGTATCCAATATCTGAACTTTGATCCTACAACTTCCTAACTGTGACCATGGGCAAACCTTAAGTATTTAAAACCTCAGGTTTTGTTAACTTTTTAAAAATGGGATAACAGTAATTAACTCAAAATTGTTAATGTGTACAAAATGCTAAGCATATGGAAAATGTCTTTGTATAGGCAATTCTGTCTTCTAGCCTGTTCCCCATTCACTGTTCTGGTGAACACCTCTGTATCCTTCTCATTTCAACTCAAATGTTACTCCCCTATCGAAGCCTTCCTTGATCAGTCCCTGTCTGTCCAGGCTAGGTCATACCTTACCCCCATTTTTCATCCTAGAAGCACAGTATAATTTGTGTTCACATCACATATCATAACTGTTGCTGGGGTCTCTTTGCTCTACTTCACACTTTTGCAGGTGCTGGTTTGTTCATCTTATTATCCTGCTGTAATTTTGACCTAGGGGCTCAAAGACATTGCTGTTAATAAGAGGAGTTTACTTAGGCCCATCAATAATTATATATTTACCTTGTGATGGTTTGGTTAATGAACATCTCCTCCAATAGCCTGTAAGCTCTATAAGGGCAGGGACTGCTAGTGTTAGACCTCATTTTTATATCCTCAACACAGTACCTGAGCAGCACTTAACAGGTGTCTCTAAATATTAATTCAGTGAAAGGCTCAAGAAGCATGTTTATCAGCAGAAAGGAGTACCTAGAGATCAAAAGAGAAGTCAGAAGGCACCAATCCAAGTAAGTGCTCATGGCCATCCCTTCCAGGGGCTTGGTAGAAGGCATTTGGGAACTCCTGTCCTAGCACTACAAAGCTCAGGATTCACTGCTTGTCTGATCATCATCGTAACCATTGAAGATCTAGTCTCCACATAACCAGAATATACTCTGCAGGAACCTGCACAATCATAACCTGGAAAGTCTAGGGATGAATCCCAGTGCCTCCAATACCTTCCCCAACATAAATATGTCTCTACAATGGATGGGAATCTGGTGTTTAGAAGCACATATTTTTGTACCACAAGATCTCTAAATGCAGCCAACTACTACATCTGGGGCTCAGCTGAAGAAACAACTATCTGTTCCAAGTTGGGGGTAAAATTGAGCTGTTTGGCCTTGGGAGAGAATGGCATCTTAATTTCCCAATGTGGTACCAAAAAAGAATTTTCAAGAACACTTTTTAGGGGCTGGGGCTATAGCTCAGTGGCAGAGTGCTTACCTAGTACATGTGAGGCACTGGGTTCAATTCTTAGCACCGCATAAAAATAAACTAATTAAATAAAGGCATGCTGTCCATCTACAAATACAAAAAAATAATTTAAAAAGAACACTTTTTAGGCTGTGTATGTAGCCCAGTGGTAAAGCATTTGTCTGACATGTGTGAAGCTATAGGATCCATAATAAGCACAACACATGCTCGCTAAAAGGATGCTTTTTTACTATACCCAATGTTTATTTATAAAGCAACTTTAGAACCTAGCCTTCTTATAATATAGAACTCTTAATGGGCAAATTATTTCAAAGGGCAGATTTTTTGGTGGAGGGAGTACGAGGGATTGAACTCAGGGACACTTAACCACTGGGGCACATCTCCAGCTCTTTTTGTATTTTATTTAGAAACAGGGTCTCACTGACTTGCTTAGTGCCTCACTTTTATTGAAACTGGCTTTGAACTTGTGATCCTCCTGCCTCAGCCTCCCAGGCCCCTGGGATTACAGGCATGCACCACTGTGCCTGACTCAAAGGGCAGGTTTTCACATTGAACAGGCCTCAACTCAAATTCTGGCTCCAGGGCTGGGGCTGTAGCTCAGCGGTAAAGTGCTTGCCTCCTATGTGTGAGGCCCTGGGTTCAATCCTCAGCACCACATAAAAATAAATAAAGATACTGTGTGTTCGTCTACAACAAAAAATATTTTTTAATAATTCTGGCTCTGATACTTACTACCAATGAATAAAACCTTCAATGAGCTGCTTGACCTCAGCCAAAGTCAACTCATTAATAGAGCAGTACCTAGAGCTTATGGTTATAGGAAGCGCTAAATATATCACACATGGCTGAATTATTATCTTTAAGAAAGTTCTTTATACACAGAGTACCACTTTAAAAGATCAACTACTGCACCATGCCTAACACAAGGTCCCATCCCCAGAAGGGACTCAGTGAACTCCAGGATCTTCCTCAGACTTCCAATCTAATAGTCCACTTCTTTATGAGAATGTCCAACATTACTCTTCTATTTTAAGTAGAACTCTCTGTGAATAAATGATCCTTCTTCCTGAATTATACAATTGAAATGTTACACAAACCACCCCACTTCCTCTTGTATTTAGTGTTAAACAATAAACATATTTTTTGTAATTTATCCTCTGCAAGCAGACACACACAGGCACACACACATCATTCTTTTGAGAAAACGACTTCACCACAGGAGTCAGCTACTTCACAAGACAACAGCTGCAGACATAGAAAAAAAATAAGAGCTCTTTATCCAATGGAAAACACTGGAAAAGCTGAAGCTGTCTAAAACTGTAATGTGGCCAGGAAAAACTGAGATATCACCTGTTCTTTTGTATCTGACATATAAAAACTGTAGTTTCTGCCACTTGCAAAATAACTATTCTCCAAATGGCATTGTCCTAGGCAGTGAAAGAATATGGAAGTACTGCTGCCTTTTATAATTGGAGGCACAAAACAAATGGAAAACAATTATGTACTGAATTAATTATAACAAAGAAAAGGTATAGACAAAACAGGCTGCTTTAGAAAAAGTAAAGCTTTCCTTGAAAGAGTTACCTAATGATTAAGCAGATAAAGGCAGAAGGATGCTTTATATCTAAAGATTGAGAACAAAAATCAAGGACTACCCTGGTTTATCTAAAGACAATGAAGAGGAGTAGAAATAAACACGATAGAAAATATACAAGCAACAGAACAAGAAATGCAGTATTTGTGCATGGAGGTAGTTATATATCTTCCCTGCAGGGTAAAAGAGGGCCCATTAAAAAGCCACATCCCCAGCCAGGCGATGTGGTGCACACCTGTAATCCCAGTGGCTCAGGAGGCTGAGACAGGAGGATTGCGAATTCAAAGCCAGGCTCAGCAATGGCAAATCACTAAACAACTCAGTGAGACCCTGTCTCTAAATAAAATACAAAATCGGGCTAGGGGTGTGGCTCAGTGGTCGAGTGCCCCTGAGTACAATCCCCAGTACCCACCCCCCAAAAAAAAGCCACATCCCCAAAATTCAAAGCTTGTCTCCACTCTTTCACTGGCAGAGCCCTACATCATTACTTACCCGGATAAGGGAAGCCTGATGCCGAAGGGGTTTGGCTCCTGGACCCCCAGATGAGGGTCCCTCAGGCTGGACAAGGGGCTGTCTAGCTTCATAAGGAGCTGAAAGAGCAGGAGAGAAAGTTAGCATGGTATGCAACAATTCCATCCAAAAATTATGACTTCACATTTAAACTGATATAGCATCTGCTTTTCAGGGAAGAATTGGCAAAGGAATTAGAGCAGAGGCTCAAAGGGCCACCTAGGACAGATGAATTCTTGGGCACAATTTCACTAAATAGTCTAAAGACATCCAATGAATTCACACTAAAGCAGAAAAATATTTATATCAGGTTAACATTAAGGAATAAAGTGTGTAGCTGAAATAGTGAAAACTTTAATTGTGATTAAAAAAAAAGAGTAGCTAGAAAAGTGCCATGTTAAAAGTGTCCAAATTCTAGATGAGGTAAATTCTATATATGCCCCTGTTTAAATGTCTTCTATTCACCATCCAACCCTGAAGAAAATCAATATGCATTTTGAATACTAAAAATCAACATTACCATTTATTTTTTTTAAATAAATGGCACTGTCTTCCTTCTGTATAATACAGAAGACAAAACCAAATAAAATACAAAAATGAATAAATGTATTTTATATTTATACTATTCTGCTATTCAGTAGCCAAACTTCAAAAATGATTTCACTACCTTTAAAAAAAAGTTTGTAAGGCCCAAAAAATAATGTTTTTTTTACTTCTTTTGTTTCCAGAACACTTAATAATAACCTTGTCAATGTGGCAGGAAGATGGTTCAACATAACCAGGTAGTATTCAGCTCCAACAGAAAGGAGCAATTCTCACCCAAGTTGAAACTATTTCTCATCTCTGTGGGTTAACAGTCCAAGTTCTGGAAAGAATGTAAATACATAAAATACTTTCTTTCTTTAGTTTACTTATAAATAAAATTAGATAGAGAGCAGAGCAGCCTCTTATGGGATCAGTTTACCACTGTTCTTTCTAAAATAAAGAAGGTATAACAACAGTACATCAAAAACAAAACACTATTGGGCTCACATCTGCTTTCTATATTTCTTCCTAGCAACTAGAAAGCAATATTATAACATATAAAAATATCAAAATGATTGCCTGGAAAATCCTTAAGTAGATTTTCAGAACCTACAAAGAATGGATACAAATAGAAAAACTGAAAAAGAAATATATATTGAAAGCACATAATTCAAATTGCAAAGTCAGCTGGTAGACAGGCATTACCTTGTGACAAGTAGGATTTTTTGTAAGTTATTTCATGTTGATTGAATACTGACTTCAACACTTAATACCAACTGCACTCTGCCAAAAGATTTTTTTAAATGGTACTGAGGACTGAACCAGTGAGCTTTACCTCCATCTCTTTATTTATTTTATTTTGAGACAGATCTCACTAAGTAGCCAAGTCTGGTCTCAAACTTGTGAGTCTCTAGGATTGCAAGCATGCACCATAGTGTCTAGCTTGCCAAACGATTTTAAACAATTAACCATAGCATGGTTGGAATCACAGTGGTCATAAAGTTGACCAGGGAGGCAAAGCCCATGAGTTCCATGTGCTTCACATTAGAAGGAAGAGGCTCTTATTTGCCAGCGGGAGATGTGAGGAAGGAAACCACTATCTGGCCTTCACCTCCAGTCCCTCACCTACAAGGTGTTCCCTTGGAGGGAGGAAGATACAAAGTGAGAGGGAGGGAGGGAGAGGTTATTTTCATCAGGAGGCCTAGATGAGGACTCAGTGGCATGAAGTCAGGGAAGGGGGTGTCATTCTGAAGGTAGATTTCCTCTTCCTACTGTATGGAAAGCCTGATCTCACCAACCCTGCCTATGACTAAATATGAGTGAAGTCCATCAGGCCACATAGCTATGACATATATTCCAGTCAGCTGTGTAAAGTGATATTCAGGTCATCATCAGATCAGTCTGACTTCTGGCTCATTTCTCAATTGGACCTGAACTCAGGAACTTAAAAGGTAGGGGTTATTTATTGTATTGGCTTGCTTTGCTCCCAAATGAAACCCAAAACATTCAATTCAATGCAAACAAAGTAATTCTTCAATCACTTTATAGGAGGTTTAGGAAGGAAAGAGAAGTACCATCTTTCTCCAAAGGAAGAACTATTTAAAAAAAAAAAAACTTAAGATTTCATCACTCCAAAGTTTACTATCAAACTAAAACTCTGCCAGTTTCTTACTTATGATGCTAAGACCTAGAGATTCCACTACTATGTGCCAGAGAAATAACAGTATATGTCACAAAAAGATTAATGCAAAAAATGTTCATAGTATCCTTATTCATAACAGCCAAACACTGGGAAACAAGTCAAATGTCCATCCAGAGAATGACCATCAAATTGTAATATAGTCACATTTTGGAATCTACTGAATAATAACACAAAAGGAACTACCAGTATCACTATAGGAGTGAATTTCAACCACTATGCTGAGGGAAGGCCCGTAGACACAAATGAATACAATCATTCTGTATGTTACCATTTGCATGAAGTTCTAGAAGAGGCAAGATGGTGTAACAAAATCAAAACAGTCTTTGCGGGCTGGGGATGTGGCTCAAGGGTAGCGCGCTCGCCTGGCATGCGTGCGGCCCGGGTTCGATCCTCAGCACCACATATAAACAAAGATGTTGTGTCCGCCGAAAACTAAAGAATATTAAAATTCTCATTCATTCATATTCATTCTCTCTCTCTCTCTCTCTCTCTCTCTCTCTTAAAAAAAAAAAAACTGTCCTTGCATTGGGGAGTAGGCAGTGACTGGAGAGGTTATCTCTGCTATAATGGAAATGTATTTTTATTTAAGTGGTGGTTACATAGGCATATTCATCTGTTAAAACTCAAACTGATGATTTAAAATGTGTGCATTTTGCCAGGCACAGTGGTACATGCCTATAATTCCAGTGACTCGGGAGGCTAAACCAGGAGTATAGCAAGTTTGAGGCCAGTCTCAGCAATTTAGCAAGGCCCTTAGTAAGTTAGTGAAATCCTGTCTCAAAATTAAAAAGAAAAGAAAAGAAAAAGGACTGGTGATGTGGCTGAATGGTTCAACACCCCTAGGTTCAATCCCCAATACCCCCCACCCAAAACTGTGCATTTATCATGTATAAATTTTACCTCACTTAAAAAGTATAAAGAGAAGTGTCTGTTCAGGTCCTTGGCCTGATTGGGTTATTTGGGGGTTTGGTTTTGTTTTGTTTTGTTTTTGTGTGTGTGTTTAACTTTTTGAGTTCTTTATATACCCTAGAGATTAGTGCTCTGATACATGAGGGGTAAAAATTTACTCCCAAGATGTAGGCTCTCTATTCACCTCACAGATTGTTTCTATACAATCAATCAATAAATATATGAAAAAATGTTCACCATCGTTAGCAATTAGAGAAATGCAAATCAAAACCATTCTAAGATTTCATCTCACTCCATCAGAATTGCAGCTATTATGAAGACAAACAACAAGTATTGGCGAGGATATGGGGGAAAAGGTACACTTATACACTGCTGGTGGGACTGCAAATTGTGCAGCCAATATGGAAAGCAGTATGAAGATTTCTTGTAAAATTGGGAATGGAAACACCATTTGACCCAGCTATCCCTCTCCTCCATCTATACCCAAAAGACTTAAAAACCACATACTAGGGGCTGGGGATGTGGCTCAAGCAGTAGCATGCTCGCCTGGCATGCATGCGGCCCGGGTTCGATCCTCAGCACCACATGCTGAAAACTAAAAAATAAATATTAAAATTTCTCTCTCTCTCTCTCTCTCTCTCCTCTCTTAAAAAAAAAAAAAAACGCATACTACAGGGACACAGCCACATCAATGTTTATAGCGGCACAATTCACAATAGCTAAACTGTGGAACCAACCTAGATGCCCTTCAATAGATGAATGGATTAAAAAATGTGTCATATATACACAATGGAATATTACTCAGCAATAAAAGAGAATAAAATCATGGCATTTGCAGGTAAATGGATGGAGTTAGAAAAGATAATGCTAAGTGAAGTTAGCCAACCCAAAATACCAAATGCCAAATGTTTTCTCTGATATAAGGAGGCTGATTCATAGTGGGAGAGGGAGAGGGAGCATGAGAGGAATAGATGAACTCCAGATGGGGCAGAGGGGTTGGAGGGGAAGGGAGGAGGCATGGGGTTAGAAATGATGGTGGAATGTGAGGGACATTATTATCCAAAGTACACGTATGAAGACACAAATGGTGTGAATATACTTTGTATACAACCAGAGATATGAAAATTGTGCTCTGTATATGTAATAAAAATTATAATGCATTCTGCTGTCATATATAAGTATAAGAATAATTTTTTAAAAAGTATAAAGAGGCATGGAAGCATGGACAGCCTTAGCATAGGCTGCTAAAAGTCCAGAAAGAAGTAGGATGTTTTGCTGGCACTGGGCAACTTAGAAGCCCAATTTGAATGGAATGAAAGGATGGGGCAAGAAATAAGAGTACAGACAAGTTTTTTAAATAATATAGAAGGTAGAACTTAGCAACAGGCTGACTCAGTATAAGAAAATCAAATTGACCTATGAATTTAAAACCAACTTCCAAAGCTCAAATAATATTAGAAAGAGAAAAAAGACCTACTTCTAAAAATAGAGAAATCAGACAAGGGAAACGATAAGAGGATAATGAAGAATTTTTAGTCCTGTTGAGTTTTCAACACCAGTGGGATATTCAAGTTTCAGGAAAGTGATTTTTTTTTGTTACTATCCATTAGCTATGTCATCTTGCATTTACACAGGAATTAATTTCCCAAACAGATTTTATATTCGTGTTCTTACTGAAGCTCATAACATCCCTAAAGGACACTGTGACTGTATGTTAAAAGAGGCAAGAAAACAATGGTTCAGAGAAGTTAAATGGCTTGCCCAAATTCATGTAGCTAGTCACAGAATCCCAGACCTTCTGATTCCAATCCAAAACTCTTTCCATCATGTCATCCCTGCTTCTCTCTGCCAGTTTACAGTCTCTCTAGTTCAGCCTAGCACACATTTGTGTTTCTGTGACCCTCAGGAAGCCCTACTGTTTTCAATGCAGCAAAAAATCCCACA